TGAAATTTTTTCATCAATCAAATGGCCATAACAGTATGTACCTAACAAACTCATGTATTCAAATTAGTTTCGACCTTGGTAAGCTCTAACTGTTCTTTTTCATCTCGACTTCTAACTAAGTCTTAGATCTGTTCACTGCTGTGTGTTAAGCTTTACTCCATGTTTGGGAAGAGGTGGCAGGGAAACCTACCATACTTTACTTTTGAAGAGAAGCATAAGGTCCTACCAGTGTTTATGACATTGCTGGCTTTGCAAATGGACTGGGCTCTTTGCCAGTTGAGGGGCCCTCATGGAAGCCTTTTCCTGCCCATATTTGCTAAGATCTCTTTCTTGACCCACATAAAGTAAAACAGTGTCCAACTACAAACCTGCTTACTAACTGCACTTCTAATTTCTCTCCAAGATTGTTAATGTGTGCCCTCCTTCCTAATATCCATTCCTGGAACTGGTCAAAGGCTGAGTAAATGAGCTGTAGTTTCACATCCTTACATGCTCCTTCACATACACGTGTACACACACCCATGCACACGCGCACGCACACACACACACGCACACACACACACACTCGGAAAAAAAAAGTGGCTGCACCTGAATGAAGGTTCTGATTATTCCATACCTTCACCACATCTTGTCATCATTTGCCTTTTTGATTGTAGTCATCCTAGAATTAAATAGTATCTTGTAATTTTGATTTGCCTTTCCCTGATAGCTAATGATGTTGAGCATTTTTTCATTATTTTTGAGAAATACCTATTCAGATCCTTTGCTCATTTTAAAAGTAGCATTGTTTATCTTATTACTACTGAGTTGTAAGTTTTCTTTATATATTTTGGGCACACGTTCCTTATCAGATATAATAATTTTTTCACATACCTGGAATGTCTTTTCACTCTATTTTATTTTTATTTTTTGTAGTACTAGGGACTGAACCCAAGGGCTGCTGAGTTACCTCCCCAGTCCCTTTTTTGTTTTTTTTTATTTTGAAACAGAAGCTCATTAAATTGTCCAGGCTGGCCTCAAACTTGTTTTGTTTTTTTGCAGTACCAGGGATCAAACTCAGGACCTTGCACTTGCAAGGCAGGCTCGGTGCCACTGAGCTAAATCCCCAGCCCTGGCCTCAAATTTGTGATCCTTCTGTCTCACCCTCCCAAGTACCTGGTATTATAGGTGTGCACCACTGTGCCTGACTTCATTGCATGTTCTTTATAGTATTGTTTTAGTACAAAAGTTTTTAAAATTTAAATAAAGTCCTATTTTTTTTTTACTCTTTCTATGAAAAAGCAGGCTGGGATTTCATTAGGAGTTGCATTGAATCTGAAGATCAATTTGAGGAATATGACTATCTTAACAAAATGTATAAACGATCTGTCAGGTAAAAGAGCCAAAAATCAAGACCAGACCAGGCCACATCAGGGCAAGGGCGATCTGCCGGGCTGTCTCTCAACAAAGGAGAGACAAAAGCAATATGGCTGGGGACAGGGAGCACATCTGGGGTGGGGCTTGTAGGAGCTGGGGTGGGGTTGAGTGAGGTAGTGGCTAGGGACTAGAGGAGACTGTGACATCACTAGCTGCTAGGAGGAGACCAAGTATTAGGTTACTCTTTTGGTGGGAATAGGGGCATGCTGGAAAAAGAGTTTGTCCTTTGGTGGGAGAAGCCATCTTGGGGTGGCTTTAGGTGGGGAGCAGGGCATTATGGGAAGAAGAAGGCAGCTATTATATATAGCTCCCACCCTAAATCGGAGGGAATTGTATCACAATCTATGATCAAGAGATTCTATTAATCCAACATTCTTTAATACTTACTATATTCAGCTTTCCTGTCCCATATCCCATCAGAGATACAACTCAGGTCTATTATACATTATGGTGATCAAAAGCACAGCTTCTATTAGACCACATATCCCTTAGACATCTTCTGACTAGCTATGTAAATATGGACAAATTAATTTTGCTTAGCCTCTATTTTCTCATCTGTATAGTGCAAATATTAATATCTATCTCACAGGATGTGAAGATTAACAATAAATGTGTGAGACACAGCATTGTTGTATCTGGAACCCAATAAATGCTAAGTCTTAGCTATTGTTCTGGTTGGAATCTGAAATGTCCCCCAAAATCTCCTGTGTTGAAGGCTTGGTCCCCAGTGCAGCAGTGTTCAAAGGTGGGCCCTTTGGAAAGTGATTGGATATGAGTCTTCTAAAATCATCGAAGCACTAATCCACTGATGGATTCATACTTTAATGGGATACTGGGAGGTAGAAAGCTAGGAAGTGCAGCCTAGTTGGAGAAAGTAGGTCCTTGAGCACATGCCTTTGAAGGCTATATTTTGTCTCAGGTCCCTTTCTCTCTCTCTTTGTTTTCCAGCCACTGTGAGGTAAGCAGCTTTGCATTACCACACACTGCTGTTCTGCCTCACCAAGGCCCAGAGACCATGGACTGAAACTTCTGAAACCATAAGCCAAAATAAATCTCTCCTCCTTTAAGTTGATTTTCTCAGGTATTGTGCCACAGTGACAGAAAGGTGACTAACTGCTATTTATTATTATTGCACTTAACTATTAGTAGCTATATATTTTTTAAATTATCAGAGCCCAAATTTTTTCCTAAGTATGCTTCCCTATATCCTTGACTTTATATCTTGTTTCTCTCAAATTTTCTGAGCCTTCCTTAAGGATAATGAATTTGATAAAAAGCTTCAGTATATATCTAATGGAAAAATGAAAAAGAAATAGCTAGCCAACTAACCAGGTATGCTCTTCGTTCCCATGTAATCTAAGTACTTGTCAACAATGATATTCAAGGATTAATCATCCTTGTCCCCTACAGTCCAATCTCTATACATGATGATTCTTTTAAAATGTAAATCAAGCTAGGCATGGTGGTGAATACTTTTAGTCCCCACATCCTGGGAGGCTGATAAAGGAGGATTGTAAGTTTGAGCCCAGCCTGGGTAACTTGGTGACTTAGTGAGACCCTGTCTCTAAATTAAAAATTTTTAAATGGCTGGGAATATAGTTCACTATGGAGGCCTTCAGTACTTTAAAAAAAAAAAAGTGTATCAGATCATCTCCTGCTTAAGCCCTTTAGTGATATCCCTCTCCAAGTAAAAGTCAAAAGCATCACAACAGCTTTATAAGAATTTAAGAATTATTAGATCTTATGTGGTCTAATGTCTGACAACTCTTTGACCTCATCTCTTGTACAATGCTCTGTCCTAACATTTCCTCAAACCTGACAGGCATATTCCCACTCCAAAGCTTTTGCATGTATAGTACTCATTTTGTTTTGTCTACAAATCTCTTTCCATTGATATCAGTTTTACTTCCTGTGTTTTTCCTTCAGAGTCTACTCAAATACCATCTTAACAGTGAGGCTGACCTTCCTATACAAAATGGCAAAATCAATTCTCCTGTTTTATTTTTCTTTCTAGGACTTCTAACCACTTGGTAAATTGTATATTCACTTGTTTATTTGTATGTCTTCTGTAGAATATAAGTCACATAGGGACAAAAATGTTCATGTATCCTGTGCATTTAAGAGTCTCAGGCTCATTAAATATATGTTGAATGAGGGCCAGGGATTTAGCTCAGTGGTTCCGTCATCCTGAGTTTGATCCCTGGTTCCAAAAAAAAAAGATACGATATCACCAAGAAAATGCCCGAGTGGGTCCTCTTCCACCAGTTCAGCATATCTGAGAACAACTACATCAGGATTACCATTGCAATCTCTCCTGAACTATTTATGCACCTGGTACCACAATACTACTTCAGTAATCTGCCTCCTAATGAAAGCAAGGATATCCTACAGGAAGTAATGGATCACTTGTCTCCTCTTTCAACCATGAAATAGGAACAGACAATGTGTGAGAAGTGCCCTGAAACTACTGAACAGAGATGCACTATTCAGTGACTGCCCACCAAAGCTAAGGTGCAATAAGGATCCCAAAGTGACCTAACAGTGGGCCTGCTGGAGCTATGTGCAAATATTTAATGCAGAGCTGGGTACCACACCCACAGGATAGCCTTGAAGAAATAACACTTTGTACATGATTTTAAATAAAAAAATAGTTTTTATTGAGTTCTTTAAAAAAAATGATGATATGTTGAATGAGTTTAGTAGTAAGAAGTTGGCCAGCAGCTTTAGTAGTAAGAAAAGAACAGGGCAGAACCAAAGTAGTTTTACTGGGGGACAGACTTTTAGTTAGATGGAGGGCTTTTCTCTTGATCAAGGGATGAATTCTACCAAAAGCTCAAACAGGAAAGGAAAGAAAGGAATGGAATTAATATGAGAAAATGAAAAAAAAATGGAAAGAAAGTCTTTGTAATTAGGGAGGGGCGGAGGGGTTGAAGGGAGGGCAGGAGATTGGGGAAAAAAATAAGAACCAAGATAGAGTATGTAAAGGTACAAATTCCCAATGATGAATGTCATTATATTGTATACCTAAAATGTACCAATAAAATTAATAATATATGTAAAAAAACCAAAAGCTCAAACATACAAAGTTTTCCTGTCCTTTTATTATTGTTGTGTGTTTGTTTTTGGTACCGGGGATCGAACTCAGGTCCTTGTGCTTGCACAGCAGGCAGCGAAACCACTGAGCTAAATCTCCAGCCCTTCTGTCCTTTTAAATTGTCCAGTTTCATGAAATGTTAGAGCTAGTTCTAAAATGGGCAGAGCCTCTTTTACCCACCCTGATAATATATGAATTTATGACGGTGGATTTAATGACTTTATTATTTTGTTATTAAAAAACTGATCTAATGCCACTTTTTCCAAAGACATAGTAGTTTTCCTAGTATTCAGATCTTAGATGCTCATGCATCTGATAGTCATGGTAAACTATGCAGTTGGAGGACACAGTGTCATGCCTGGGGACTGAACTACTATTCCCAGAGTGCTTCTCTAGGAGGATTCTGGGAAGTGTGGCAGAAGTATACTTTTAAGGATCGTAGTTAACATTAGCCAGCATAAAGATTAAATTACATTTCCCAGAATGTGTCTTTAGAATTCTGGGAAGTGTGGCAGAAACAGTGGTCCCTCCTGGGAAGGAAAACAGTTTAAACTTGAATGTTTGGTGTTTCCTGGTTTTTGCTGATTCTTGAGGCCCTGGAATTCACCCCCAAAAGAATTCAAAGTGAGTACAGTGAAACAAACCTATCAGGTTTTAAGTTCAGGAAGGGAGGCAATAATAGAACTTGACAAAAGCTCTTGGTTACAGCATTTTACAGTTTTAGCTTAGTTTTGTTTCTCTTGCAAAAACCAGGAGAATGATCAGCTTTGCTCTTGTGGAGCTATCTCATTAACTAAAACTAAATTAAATTTACTAACTTCTCACCTTTTGCCTTAACAATCCTTGTCCCCTACAAGGATTAAGGGAGGAAAAATTATCTTTTAGAATACAAACCATACAGTTATTCATATAAGCAAGGTCACAGAAACCTTGAAATCTGTATTTCAGTGATTCTTCAGTTTTGCATACTTTCCTATTCCATTGAGGTCCACAGTCGTGGAAACATGGAATCTCAAAAGGGCTCCCCCAAATGAGTGAGAACCTCGCTTCTTCATAGTGAAAGTTAACCATGAAGATGAGAGATGTGCTCTTCACTTTTTTTTTTTTCATGCTTTTTTGCCACATAATCCTTCTGGCAAGATGAACAGGACAAGAAATGTGTGTGAATCATTTACGGTATTACAGAGGGTTCTGAGAAACTGCTAATCTTAAGGACCCTGCTCCATCATTTACTGTTTTAGCTTTAGATAAAAAACATAATCCATCAGGCTTTGTACTTTAAAAAAACATAAATACTTTAGGTCATGACAATCTACAAACGACTAAGGTTAATTTAATAGTAGAAGCAGTTTGTTTCAATAGATGAAACAATAGGCATCCAAGTACAGTGGGCCACACATATTAATCAGTAGTTACAGCCAAACTACAACCAAATAACTTGCAGTTCCCAGGATCCAAGAATTCACCAAAGGAATTTCTTGTGGCTCATGGGAAATATGGTGAGGTGTTTCTGGGAATAGTGGCTTAGAAATAGCCTCACTGAACAGTTAGTCCCAGGAGCCATTATTTTCTTATACTTTCTTTTATCTTAAAAAGAATATGTATTTATAGCTTAAATTTTTAAAATATAAAATGAATAAAGTAAAAAATCACCAGTACCTCCTTTCAATCTATATCTCCTTCCCTTTATCCCAACTTAGTCATACTAGTTTAGTATGTGTATTTGAAAAATACTAATACACAATTTATATATATTAGAATATATATGTATATGTCATGTTCTTTATAAATTAATTAGATCATTCTGACCAACCATTATATGCTTTTCTTTTCTCCTCCAGGAATAATTGGCCAAAAAAAATTGTATGTATTTACTGAGCACAATGTGATATTTTGATATATGCATACATTATGAAATGATTAAATATCCATCACCTCACATACTTGTCATATTGTGGTGAGGGCATTTAAGATTTTATTAGTAATTTTCAAGTACATAATACATTATTATTAACTATAGTCACCATGCAATAAATAGATCTCCAGAATTAATTTATCATAACTGAAACTTTGTATCCTTTGGCCAACATCTCCCCACTACCCCCTGTACTTTTTTAAATAATGTATTCTAACTAAAAGGTATAATAGATAATGTGGAATAGGAAGAAAAGGGGCAAAGGGGAGGGAGAAGTGGGAGGGGTAGGGGAAAGGAAAGAAGGGAATGGAATTAATATGAGAAAATGAAAAAATGGAAACAAAGTCTTTGTAAATAGGGAGGGATGGAGAGGTTGAAGGGAGGACAGGAGAAGGGGGGAAAAAAATAAGAACCAAGAGAGTTTTTTTTGTTTTTGTATTTTTTTTTTGGTACCGGGGATCAAACTCGGGTCCTTGTGCTTGTGCAACAGGCAGCGAAACCACTGAGCTAAATCCCCGGCCCAAGAACCAAGAGAGTATGTAAAGGTGCCTATCTCCAGTGATGAATGTCATTATATTGTACACCTAAAATGTACCAATAAATGGATATACAAATAATAATAATAATATATTCTAAATAACTTTCTCTGCTACATGTATATTTTTTCATTGTTATATTATTTTGTATTTATTTTTATCAGCTGTGTATTACACCATTTATTGTATTTTTTATTAACATTCCTTTTCTGTTCTTGTTTGTTTTGAGATAGGATCTAGCAATGTAGTCCAGGCCAGCCTTGAACTTGCTATAGACCTGAAGCTGGCCTCAAACTCATGATTCTCCTGCCTCAACTACCCAAGTACTGAATTATAGGTGTGTATCATCTTGCCCAGTTTATTAACATTCTTGTACATATTACTTCCTAGAAAAAATTCCTAGAAGTGGAATTGTTAGGTGAAAGTGGTACTTATTTAACATTTTAACACGTATCCACAAATTAATCTCCAAAAATATGTACCAATTTACATTTTCTGAGTTATAGATGAGCTAGAAATACTAGCTTTAAATACATTTTTTTCAATATATCATACAAATCCTTGGATTATTAAAAAATAGGGATTATGCATGGCTGGGCATGGTGATGCATGCATGTGATCCCAGCTACTGGAAACACTGAGGCTGAAGCCAGCCTGGATGGACTACATAGTGAGACTCTGTCTCAAAAATAATTAATGCAAAGAAAATCTCCTTCCCCTGCCTCCTGACATTTTTCAACTCTAATCTACTTTTTATCAGTGAAATCTGAAATTTCTAGAATTTCTAGAATATTAATGGAATCTTTTGCATCTGGTTTCTCTCACTTAACACAAAGTACCTGAGGACATCTGTGTTACTGCATTTTATAAAGCTGTTCATTCCTGTTTGTTGCTGAATAATATTCCATTGTATGGATGTACCACTATTAGTTTATCCATGCATTAGCTAATAGGCATGAGTTTTTCCAGTATTTGAAAATTACTAATATTTTGAATAAAGAATCTCTGAATTTAAGTACAAAAAATTTTAATTAAAAAATAAAATAGGGATTATACCTTTAATACTGCCTCAGAGTGCTTTGCAACCTATATATCATACAGAGTTTTCTTTGAAAATTATATATTTGATTTTTTCTCACCTGCTAGGGTTCCTTGAGGCAGAGATTTTCATTCTTTACATTTTTGTGTTCCTTAAGAGACCTTGCCTAAATTCAGTAGCCAATAAATACTTCATTGACTCTCATTTGCTAAATATATTTTACCCTTGCCTAGCACACAGATTGCAGCCAAATCTTTTCAAGGATTAGTCATCAGTGACTCATAATTATGCCTCAAGAAAAAGGCCTAAACTTCCAGTATTCCCTTGGTAGGTTAATGTCAAAGCTTGCTTCTGTTGGGCACAGTTAAAAGGGTGGTTGGTTATTTTAAGTGTACTGATTTTTTTTCATATTTTCAGTGGAATTTCTTGACTTTTCACTACTAATATGAAAGGCACCTTTCACAAGGAATAAAACGCTTAGTGTTAAGACAAATTGAAAGGAACCACTGGGATCAAGATATAGCTCAGTGGTACAGCACTTGCCTAGCAGGTATGAGGCCCTAGGTACAGTACCCCGCACCACTTTAAAAAAAAGAAAAGAAAGAAACCATCTTCTGCACAATGAATTCTTCAGCCAGATATTTTTTTCTTTCCCAATGAGCTAGAAAAAAACCCAAAAAATTTCTTTGATCCATATGAATATCATAGCTGTCTTTTGAAATATTTTCCTAATGGCTTTGATTTAAATTTTTTCTTACCTACCAGATTATCATCTACTTCTCAGAGGTTTGTTGGTTTTTATCTGCTCAGAGAAACTTGGCTTCATTACTCTGGAGATATCCCAGGGTTGTTACTTGATCTATTTGTTACAGTGATACTAGCTGCTGAAACACAAATTTCAGAATTTCAGTAGCCAGGAGCTGGAAGTACAGCTCAGTGGTAGAGCCGACATTTAGTATTCATGAGGCCCTGGGTTCAATCTCCAGCACCAAAACATAAAATAAAATTAAAAATTCAGTGGCTCAATATGGTAGAAGTTTTTATTATCTTTTGTGGTGCTGGAGATTGAACCAAGACCTTTTACATGCCAGGCAACACCCTACCACTGAGCTACTCCTCCCAACCAACCTGGTAGATGTTTCACTAACAAATACTGCAGTGAAGAGGGTCTTTGGTTGGTGGGTGGCTTTTCTCCATGCGTGAGTCAAGGATGCAGTGTTCTCTATGACTCTTTTTTTTTTTTTGGTACCGGGGATCCAACTCAGGTCCTTCCACTTTCGAGGCAGGCGCCGGAACCACTGAGCTAAATCCCCGGCTCCTCTATGAGTCTATCTTGACTCTAATGACTCTGTCTTTTCTCTTGGAATCTTCCAAATAGAAGGGAAAAAAGAGCCCAGGGATTTAGCTCAGTGGTTCTACCACCTGCCTTGCAAGCACAAGGTCCCGAATTTGATCCCTGGTACCAAAAAAAAAAGGGAAGAAAGAGGGTGAATAAGGTATACACAGCCCCTCCTGGTACTGGGGATTGAACCCAGGGCCTTCACACTGAGCTACATTCCCTGCCCTTTTCAAAATCTTTTTTTTTTTTTTGGTACCCGGGATTGAACTCAGGACTTTGTGCTTGCAAGGCAGGCGGTGGAACCACTGAGCTAAATACCCAGCCCCTTAAAGTCTTAAGACAAGTTCCCACCAAATTGCTAAATTCCCCAGGCTGTGCCCAAATTTGCTGTTCTCCAGCCTCAGCATCCCTGAGTCCTATAGGATTACAGGTGTGCACCACCATACCCAACTTATACCTACTTCTTAATTGCTTCACTCAGAAGGGATACATATCACTTCCAGTCTTAGCCCTTCCTAGATACAAGGGAGATGGAGGCCTTGGCTTGGCAGCCAATTCCCACTAATAAATCTACAATATGAGAGAGGAGTCTACATTTTTGTGGATTATTTGCTGATTCTCACAACTTATTAGCATGGCAGAAAAGATTTCAATTTTGTCTGTTTGGAAAGAAGTACTGAGAATTTGAGATCCCATCACTAGTTAATGGTAGAAATGCAATGGAGAAGCCTAATCACCTGACTCCAATTTAGTTTCTCTTTCCTTAGTATTGCAAAGTGATCCCATCCTGGCTTAAAATATAACTCCCTTGGTGATTCATTACTTTAAATTGCATACTATGACTTTTAAAACTCCTTTTTTCTTTAGGGACCTGACAATGTCTTTGTATTATGGAATTTCTTATGGGAGAAAAATTTTATGGTGCTGTAGGTTGCTGTCAACCTATGTCAACAAGACACAGTGAGTTTTTGACCAACCTGAGCTCTGATTACTGTTGTTTTGTTCTATTACAAAAGTGAAATATCTCAAAATCCCATATCAAAGATGTGTGATAAAACTGCCCATAAGGATGATCATTGTAAGTTGCTTACAATTTAAAAAAATGTTAACAGTTTCCTACAATATCTAATGCCAAGACTTTGTCTTTTCTACTGTGGTACCCTTAGTGCATAAAACAGTGCCTACCACATAACATGCACTGAAATATTGCTGAAGGAATGAACAATAAGGGAGAAAATAAAGTACATACATATAATGGAATAATAAACACATAAAAAGCTATATTGAAAGCTATATATTCATGAAGTTTCCTAAAAATACTGTGGATAACTCCAACATCCTCCATCCCCCTCAAAGAACTAAACTTTAGGGAAAGGTAGACTAGGGTTAAAAAATCTACAGCAGTACAGGAAGATGATAAAAGACATTTTTGTCTAATCCTGGAGACATTTGAAATCACTAGCCTGCTTTCACCCAGTTTTAGGATTTAAATTTATACTATCTGTGTGATGTGGCCCAAGAACCCTCAACCTAAGAAATGAATTTTATTTTTTATTTTTTTGCTTAAATTCTTTGGTACATTTTAGGTATACAATACATTTACATTTACCACTGGGTGCTTGTACCTGTACATGATGTATCTTGGTTTTTATTTTTTCCCCATTACCTGTGCACCCTTCCCTATTTACATAGACTTTGTTTCCATTTTTTTCTTTTCTTATAATTTTTCCTTTTCCTTCTTTCCTTTCCCCTTCCCCTCCTACTATCCCTACACCTTTGGACTTTTCTTCCTATTTCAAATTATCAATTATTCATTTTAATCCTTATTTACACTTTCAGTTTCTCATATGAGAGAAACTATTCGGTATTTACACGTGTGTCCTATTTATTTCACTTAAGAGTATGGCCTCAATGTGCATCCATTTAGCTATAAATGTCTCTAGTTTCTCGTTCTTTATGGCTGAGTAGTGCTCCATTTTATTTTTTAAAAACCACATTTTCTTTATCCAGTTTCCAGCTGACGGGCACTTGGGCTGTTTCCGAGCTTTAGCTATTACAAACTGTGCCGCTATAAACATGGGTGCACATATATCGCTGTGGTATGATTCTTTTAATTCTTTGGGGAAGATACCCAGCAGGGGAGTAGCTGGGTCAAATGGGACCTCTAGCCCTAGTTCTTTGAGGTATCTCCATACTGATTTCCACAGTGGTTGCACCAGGCTGCACTCCCACCAACAATAGAAAAGGGTTCCTTTCTCCCCACACCCACGCCACCATTTGTTATTGGTTGAAAGAAATGAATTTTAGCTATGAAGCCTAGACTGACTACCTCTGGGGCACCTTGCAAATGCAAGCTCTTCAGGAACAATACACACACAACCAGGGCTTCCCACTTAGAAAGACAGTCTTGAGGGCACAGTCCAAGATTTAGTGGTACATAGCATAAAATCCTTCATGAGGAAGAGTAAACAAATAACAAAATTACAATATTTATTTTAGGTATTGATGCATTAAGGTTGCCTGTGCTTCTTCGGGTTGAAAATTTAAGAACAAGAACAGAATTGTTGACTAAAATGTAACAAATAAGAATCTTGAAGGGGTTAAGTATATTTAAAATGAATCAAAATCATGAGAAAAGAATAAAAGTTTGTCAATAAACAATGATGTAAAAAGTGTTTAAGAAGGGCTGGGGATTTAGCTCAGTGGCACTGCTTTTGCCTCCCAAGCACGCAAGTTCCTAAGTTTGATCCCTGGCACCGAAAAAAAAAAAGTGTTTAAGAAAAAAAGGCATGATTGACTCTAAATATATAAATTGATACATAATATTAATAGTTTGGAGTATTCCAGATTGTAAACAATGATTATCTCCAACTGGTGGGGTTGCTAATGATTTTCTTTTTTTTATAAAGATTGGCAATTGCATTTTATAATTTTTAAAGAATGACTATTTTTTACTGTTACTAGTTAAAATTTAAAAATAAATATTTTTAGCCTTGATAATCAGTATAGTAGCTTGTATGCTATTATAACTAAAGGGAGAAAATGAATTTTTAAAGAGTTCCTAAAAAGATAAATAAAAACTAGAATTTCTGACTGAGAAGAGTTTATGAACTTTTGGATCTCAGTTCCAGTTCCAGTAAGATCCTGTGTTTAAGACCTTATCCTGTATGTTTTTGTAGGTGTTTTGCATTTTAGGGTCATTAGGGCAAAGCACAGGTTGTACCACTATCTCTTTTACGAGGGCAGCCGTGTTTATTCTATTGTGCATATTTGGTAACTTCTGAGTGGCACATGTCTCTCCTTTGTCATACGTTGAGTCTTTGCCCCAGGAGGCTGTAATCACTCAAAATAAGTTTAAAAATATCACCAGTCTTAAAAGATCAGATTTCTTTTGTTTTCTATTTATAAAGAGCTTATTGTAACTCCTTTGACTGCACAGTCAAAATAGGTTCCTAAAGAAGGCTACTGGGTTTGTTTGTTGTTTTGCTTTGTATTTTCATTTGCATCAGCTCTGCCTATGGGTGTTATGGACATTCCCAGATTCTACAAAAACACCTGTAAATTGTATTTTCCACTTACATAACAAAGTATGTCACAATTCTGAGAGCCTATTTTAGGGCTTTTAAAGGCAAAAATGGTTAATCCTAGGCTGCAAGGAGAGTCTGTATTCAGTTTCCAGTGAATCACATGGACCCTGGTTTGATTCCTAAGGCTCTTAAAAAGATAGTACCTTAAAAGGTACTGGAAAAGCCTAGAACTTGTTCCATTATTATTTCTTTTTGAGAAACCAATAAGAGGATGTTCTTGTCCACATTTTTATTTTGGCTTCTGAAAATATTATTTTTATTAAGCAGTTCAAGTATAGGCTTCATCAGTGGTCTCTTCAATATAGATAAGGTAGGAATGGGGCAGTAAAAAGAATTAAGATGTGTTATGTACATGTGCCAACTCCCTACAAGGATGTAATCATTATGTATGGCATAAAAAATAGATAAGGATCTAAGGATGTCCCCCTTGAGAGTCAGATGTTTGAAAGAAGGGTGCTTTGAAGGTAAAATATGTTTCTGGTCTTCTCTAGCCTGAATGAGAGTTACTGAAGGCATAGTGTTTACTTCCATCTCTAAGATTCTGTGGTTGATATTGTTATCATTGTTCTTGTTTTTCTTTCACTCCACTGCCTGTAAATTCTTGCCTCATAGTATATTGGCAAAGTACCTTGAGGTTCAATTCAGTAAATATTTATTACCCTTGAAGTTCAACCCAATAAATATTTATTAAATTGAGCCACTCAACCTGCTAATTACTGAGCATGCAGAGCGGAAAAAGGTAGACCCTGCTTTTAAGGAGTTCATAGTCTTCCCAGGGAGACAGACAAATGAACAAATGGTACAATAATGCAACCATAGAAGTATGGGCAAGGTGCATAGTAGGATGAAAGAGGGAATGAGTGACTGCTTGTAGCCACCTCACATCCTTTATAGAGCAAATAAGAATATAAATAAATAAAGGGAAATAACAGTAGTAGGAGAGCGATGCAGGAGTAGAGTTCTCAAAAATGGATGCTGTACAACTAAGTGTGGTCTTGTAATAGCTTAATTATTTCCCAAATACAGGTATTTATTTGAACTAAAAGAAGATGATGATGCATGTAAAAAAGCCCAACAGAAAGGAGCATTTTACCTCTTTCATAGACTGGCTCCTTTGCTTCAGACAGCAGAACATCGATACACAGTACCCCGGCTTAGCCTACTAGGTAAGCTCAAAGACTGGTGACCACTAAGCTGATTTCAGCACATTCTGGATCACTGAGAAATATCCTTGAACTATATAGAGTCCAGATTTTTTCAAATAGCTGCTGAGTCTCAAGCTTGTATAACTGCTTCTGCCAATTAATAATTTCTTTTGTGAACCTTAGTTGTCCAGTCAGATATTATTTGGTGATGATATAAGCCACTTATGCCTCAACAATACTGCTATCCAGACTAGACTTGCAGCTTGCTTTGTAAATATATTTTTATTGGAACACAGCCACACTTATTTGTTGACATATTGTCTATGGCTGCTCTTGCACTAGTGGCAAGTAAGCAGTTATGACAGAGACTGTATGATCAGAAAGCCTAAAATAATTAGTATCTCTTTACAGAGAAAGTTTGCCAACTTGTACCTTCAATTAGTGATTTCTAGCCTCCATAGAGGTACACATTGTTATCCTAGAAGAGTGTTAGCTTTGCATCCTAACTTGATTTTTACTAGAAGATCAAAATTTAAAGTGAATTAAAATTAATTTATTTTGAGAGCCTTTTTAGAGGTATCTAAGCCAGTGGGATTTGGGTTTTTTTGTTTGTTTTTGAGACAAGGTCTCACTTTGTTGCCCAGGCTGGTCTTGAACACCTAGGCTCAAGAAATCCTTCTGCCTGAGAATCCTGAATATTTGGGACAATAGCTTATGCCACCACACCTGCTTGGGATTTGCTATTTAAATAATTAACTTTCAGTTTTAAATTGATATATAAATATAGCATATAAATATAGTTAGTCAGTATATACTTCTAAAAACATTGCCAGTGGATTTCTCTCATAGGTCAGATTTTGGAGTATTTGAATGATTAGTTTCCACCAATGCAGAATAATACAAGGACTCTGTTAGAAGGCATTAAACATTATTTAGAGATTTAATAATGTTATGTTATGAACAAATAAATGAGTCCTTCATGGATATGACAGGCTTTCTTCCTATACAGCATTTACCATTTACAGACCAGGATCTCAGATAACTATTCCACTTTGGCCCACCAAAGCAACAGTCTGGAAATAGAACTGAATTGGTCTCTACCAATTTAAATTTATTATGTATTTTTTCAATGCCTTAATAAGTTAACTATTATGCATCTTCTGAACAAGGGCCTATGTCCCTTCCAACATGGAATTACAGAGTAATCAATTACACAGATATAATTCCTCCTTTGTTCTAAACTCCTGAGATTACTGAAGAGAAGACAGATGCCTAGAGAGATTAAATGACTAGACCTATGTTATACAGGTAATTAGCTGCAGGGCTGTTTATACCTTAAGCCAAGGGAGGCGAACCTATGGCACGCCTGCCACAGTAGGCTATCTGTATCATTGAAAGCTCTAAGCAGTTGGCCATCACTGCCTTAAGCCAAGTACAGCTGGCCTCCATATCCTCAGGTTCAACCAACTGCAGATCAAAAGTATTTGGAAAAACATTCTGTCTGTACTGAACATATACAGACTTTTTTCTTGCCATCAATCTTTAAACAATACAATATAACAACTGTTTACATAGGATATGGATTGTATTAGATATTATAGGCAATCTAGAAATGAATTAAAGTATATGGGAGGATGCATGTAGGTTGTATGCAAATATACCATTTTACATAAGGGACTTCAGCACCTGGCTATCTTGATACCTGAGGGGCAGCCCGTCCCACACAGATACTGTGAGGCAACTGGCTACTTTGTTTAAACTAAAGTAGATCATTTCTTGTAAGTCTAACGTGGCTGTGGTGATATAACTGAAATCCTTATTTATTCCCCTTCTTCCTGTTTCTTAGAGGTAAAAAGACTCCTGGATAAGTTTGGACAGGATGCACAAAGAATAGAAGATTCTGTGCTGATTGGATGCTCTGAACAGCATGAAGCATGGTTTGCTCTGGATCTAGGTCTCAATGGCTCCTTTTCCATACATGGTATATATAACATCATTTTAATGGACACCAGTTGTTCTCAGACTTTGGGATTTCACATAATATTTCTAAGAAAATTGTGAGAATACAAAAAATGTTTTCAATTTTTTTAATAAGGACATAACACTATCATCTACTACCATCATTTAAAATAAAGGACATTTTAATGCTTTCTTTCTAACCTAAGTAGTAGTAGTATTCTCCAAATCATTTTATATTTATTTATTTATTTATTTATATTGTAGGTCTTAAATATTTCATAAGAAATTGACATTATTCTTCTTTTTCTTACCAATGCAGGGAAATGAAAATGTTACCAGGTATAGCTCTGGGTTCTCAGACCTGCATTTGGGAACCACTTCCCTCTAGATTCATGGTTCCTCTTAGATTTTCCTTTACCCTTCAAGGTGTGTGGGTGTAAATGTAATGATGCTGGAATGGGCTTCAGGTAGAGTTTAGAGGTCCCATTTCATCTCTTTTCCAGGGATAGTGCAAATGGTCTAACTTCCCTGAAGAAGATCTTGAGAAATACTGTTCCAATGTTTCCCAAACTGGCCTGACTATAAGAATCACCTGGTGGGACCAGGGATTTAGCTCAGTGGTTCCAGCGCCTGCTGTGCAAGGGCCAGGTCCCAAGTTCGATCCCTGGTACAAAAAAAAAAATCACCTTGTACGTCTTTAAAAAAGAAAGATTGGGCCAGGGATTTAGCTCAGTGGTTCTGCTGCCTGCCTCACAAGCTCAAGGTCTCGAGTTTCATCCCCAATACCAAAACAAGCAAACAAAAAATCAAAATAAAAAAGAAAGATTTCTGGGGCTTACTCCACATCTGCCACTTCAGAATATCCAGGTAGGGGCTTGAGGACCTGTATAGTTTTTCCTTTCTCCAGCTGACCCTTTTATTAGGCAAATTTAGGAAACAAGTGCTATATAACAAGATAGAGGGGGCCCAGAGGCAAAGCTTGACATTTAATTTCATTCTCTTTTCTAATTTTCTAGACTCCTTACCAAAATCAGAAATGGAGACAGAGCTCAAGGGGTCTTTCATTGAGCTGAGGAAGGCTGTCTTTCAGCTGAATTCAATGGATTCATCCTTGCTATTCACGGTAGATTCAAATTTCTCAATTCTATAGGAAGTTTAGTAAAGTTGTGTATATGGGCAAATCCATGGGTGCATACACAAGGCTAGAGTGACATTTAATTTCTTTCTTTGCAAATCATAGTCCTTCCTAAGACCTCAACAGACGAGACAACGAGCTGTAGGTAAGATTGCTTATTCTACCTTGTTTTGCCCTTATTTTGGCAGAATTGCTGTCAAGACTATTTTCTCCTAAGGATATGCAGGTCTATGGCAATAACCCAATAAACATTTTTAATGACATAATCATGTTTTTCATATAAGAAATAATTTTACATTGCATTAATGAATCATCCTCAAGCTTTAGATTTTATTTGGTATGGTATTTTGATTGTCTATTGAAAGAGATACTTATAAATATTTTTTAGTTGCAAAATTATTCCAGCTATATTAAGGAAGAATACATTTGGTTGCACTGAAAATTTTTTCTTTTTTTTTTGGTATCAGGGATCAAACTCGGGTCCTTGGGTTACGAGGCAGGCGGTGGAACCACTGAGCTAAATCCCGGGCCTGGAAATTTTTTCTTTTTAAGTTGGGTTAAAGTACATGGGTGTTTATCATATTATTTTATAATATTTCTTATATTTTAAAGGACTCATAACGCATTTTAAAATATGCCTCTTTTATTCAGATTTCCAATGCTAAGGGAATGTTCATATAGTTTCCTTATCTTAAACAGCAACCATTTAAAGGTAAATGAGGTGGAAAGATTCTGGCTTTTCCCCATGACTTGCTCTAGATTCTAGGCCTAGTGCTGTTATGGATAAAGCCCATGTTTTCTCCAAATGAAACCAGGTCCGTCTTTGTTTTTCTTTTTTCTTTTTTTCTTTATTTTGATACTAGGGATCGAACTCCGGACCTTGTGCTTGCGAGACAGGTGCTGGAACCACTAAGCTAAATGTCTGGCCCTTCTTTTTTAATTTTAAAACAGTTCTTGTTTTATTTATTATAATCCCATTTGTTGACTGGATTTGTTGTTTGGCATTTCTTTTTTTTTGGTACCGGAGATCAAACTCAAGACCTTGTGCTTACGAGGCAGGCGGTGGCACCACTGAGCTAAATCCCAGGCCCTTGGCTTCCTTTTTTTAAAATAAATTTTATTTTCTCCTTCCCCCCAACCCCCCCAGTCCCTATGTAAAAAGCTTTGTTTGCATTTTTTCCTTCTATTTTCACTTTTTTTCTTGTCCCTTCCTTCCTCCCTTGCTCCTCCCTTGTTCCCCTTCCCATTTGAACACTTTCTTCCTATTTCCTAACATCTGTAATACATTTCATTCTTTATTTCCACTTTCAGTTTCTCACACCAGAGAAACAATCCTGTATTTAAACATGTGTGTCCAATTTATTTCACTTAAGAGTATGGTCTCAAGGTCCATCCATTTAGCTATAAATGTCTGAAGTTCATCCTTTATGGCAGAGTAGTATTCCATTGTATAAAAAAACCCACATCTTCTTTATTCACTCATCAGTTGATGGGCACTTGGGCTGTTTCCAAGATTTAGCTATTACAAACTGTGCTGTTATAAACATGGGTGTGCATATATCGCTGTGTTATGATGGTTTTAATTCTTTCGGGAAGATACCAAGGAGTCAAATGGAACCTCTAGTTTTAGTTCTTTGTAAAATCTCTAAACTGATTTCCACAGTGGTTGTACCAGTCTACACTCCCACCAACACTGGAGAAGGCTTCCTTTTCCCCCACAGCCCCTCCAGCATTTGTTATTGGCTGATTTCTTGATAGCAGCCATTCTCTCGAGTGAGGTGGGATCTCAGCATTGTTTTAATTTGCATTTCATGAATGCAGGTCCATCTTTGTATTTATTCCTAGGCCCAGGCTCTTCTCCGATGGCATGATGGTCATCAGTTCTGCAGCAGAAGTGGGCAGCCCACCAAGAAGAATATCGCTGGCAGCAAGCGTGTGTGTCCTTCCAATAACATCATCTATTACCCACAGGTAAGAGTTGCTATAAGAGGACAGTAATCTGAAAGGCTGTACTTGTATGTCCTGGGGAAGAAAGTCTGCATAATTAAAGGGCTTCCTTAATTATCCATTGCTTCTGTACACTGGGAGGCCTCAATTTCCATCCTCCTTTCCCAGATGGCTCCTGTTGTGATTACTCTGGTGTCAGATGGGACCCGATGCCTACTTGCGCGCCAGAGCTCCTTTCCCAAAGGAGTATATTCTGCCTTGGCAGGCTTTTGTGATATAGGTAAGTATTACAGGGTATATACAGGTGATAGTGGAGGGCAGAGAATCTATAGCAGGTATTTCTCTGTCTTGTCAAGCACATTCTTTCCTATCATTCTGCATTCTGATTTCCCAATATTATATTGGGTAAAATTTCAAACACATAGCAGAGTTGGAAGAATTACACATAAACCCATAACACCTACCACTTGGTCGATAATTTTAACACTAACTTCGTCATGTATTTTTCATCTACTCATCTTATTTTTTGAGGTACAGAGTGCAAACAGTATACTTCTAAATAATTTCAGCATGCATAATACTAAAATTCCATATTTAGTTTTGTTTTGATGTTTTTTAGTTTATTGGGTAAAATCTACAAATGATGAAAAGAGAAATTTTATTACAGCTAAGGGTAGCAGTACCCTCTCCCACTGCTATTCTTCCGGTGTTTTATAACTAACCCAGCAGGCTTAAGCACTCAGTTCAATGTACAACTCTACATTTGACTCCTATTGTTGGAGACTCAGATTTCGGACATCCCAAGTTTTGTATTCCTTTCACAAATGGGCTATCGTGATACAGATACAACTTTTCTGCTCCCTGGCTGTCCTAACTTAATCTGAGTGCTTACAGGGGAAAGTGTGGAAGAGGCTGTGCAGCGGGAAGTTGCAGAAGAGGTGGGACTGGAGGTGGAAAGCATGCAGTACTCTGCATCTCAGCACTGGCCCTTTCCTAACAGCTCGCTCATGATTGCTTGTCATGCAACTGTGAAACCAGGGCAGACAGAGGTAAGTGCTCACACTTCCCTTCTGCTTCCATTGTAGTAAATAATCACCATTCTCCCTTACACGTATCTCAATCATGACAACTTTTTGCTTTTTAACCATTTTATTGAAGTAAAATTAACATACAAAAGCTATTGTTAAAGTATATATACAACCTGATGGATTTGGAGATTAGTACATACCTATAAAACCACCCATCATTATCAATATGCTAAATTCATCACTTTCAAGTTTTCTCCTGCCCCCTTTATTTTTTCTTTTGTGGTAAGAACAACATAAGATTTATCCTTGTAGTAAGTTTTAATATATTCAACACAGTATTATTAATTATAACCCCCATGTTGTTCAGGTCTCCAGAACTTATTTTGTATAAGTAAAACTTTATATTCTTTGACCAACACCTCCTTGTTTCTCTTTAGATTCCACGTGTAAGTGGGATCATGCAGAATTTGTCTTTATGTATCTGATTTATCTCACTCAGCATATCTTCCATTATATTGTCTGTCAAAAATGCAGGATCTTTTTTAAGACTCAATAATATTCCATATGTATCTGCCACATACTTTATTATTCATTTATTGATGGACATTTAGGTTGTTTCCGTATCTTGGCTGTTGTGAATAATGCTGCCTTGAACATAGGAGTACAGATATTCCTCTGAGATCCAGATTTCAATTCATTTGGATATATTCACCCAGAAGAGAGATTGCTGGATCAGATGTTAATTCCATTTTAAATTTTTTAGGGCCCTCCATATTGCTTAGTAACTACACAAATTTACATTCCCCTTAACAGTATACAAGGTTCCCTTTTCTCCATACCCTTGCCAACATTTGTTGTCCTTTAAAAAAATTTTTTTTATAATCATTCTGGAAGGTATGAGGCACTATCTGATTGTGGTTTTAGCAGTGTGAATACTTTTTCATGTGTCTATTGGTCAGTTGTACTCTCTTGAGAAATGTCTATAGAGGTATTTTGCACTTTCAGTTGGATTATTTGCTATTGAGTTGTAGTTCCTCACATGAATCCTTTATAGATATATATGGTCTTCAAATATTTTCTCTCATTCTGTAGAATGCCTTTTCATTTTGTTGTTTCTTTTCCTTTTTAGTTTGATGTAATCCTATTTCTTACTTTTCTTGCCTGTGATTTTGGTGCCATATCTAAAAAAATCATTGCCCAGTCCAGTGTCTAGAAGTTCACTCCCTATGTTTTCTTCTAAAATGTGTATGATTAAAGTTTTACCTTTAAGCATTTAATCCATTTTGAATTGTTTCTTGGTATATGGTGTAAGAGTCCAATTGAATTCATTTGTATGTGGATGTGCAATTGTCACAACACTGTTTATGAAGCAATTTACCTTTCACCTTCAGAATTGTACATATAGTACACATACAATACATATATCAAATTTAATGGCCAACTTCAGGATTGGTTTTATTAAGTTAATCAGGGATGTTAGGGATTAATGATACAATTACTGGAACTTCTGGTTTAAAGGGACTTGCATGTTGTCTAATCTCATCTTGCTCTTCTGCAGCATCCCCGACAAATACTGTAGTCCCTGATTGCCAATGTCTGCCTATTGTGTGTATTGACTTTATAGGATATCTAATCTATTTCAACTTACTGTGGACAAAGTTTGCATTACTTTGCTTTTTATCAATAACTCATTCTTAAAGTAGGTTCTTTTATAATTCATAGAATTACACAATCAATGGAAGCACAAAGAAAAACAAGTATTGTTCACAATTTAGCATTCAGTGTTACTACTCTTTTTTTTTTTTTTTTTGGTACCGGAGATCGAACTCGGGTCCTTGCACTTGTGCAACAGGCGACAAAACCACTGAGCTAAATCCCCAGCCCAGTGTTACTACTCTTAATATTTTAATATTTGTACTTCCAGGTTTTATTATTTTGGGGGTTTTTTTGGTGTTGGGAGACTGGACTCAGGGCCTCATGCATTGCTAAACCCACACTGTACTACTGAGCTGCACCTCTAGTCTTGTGTTCCTAGGACTTTTTAATGTATCTTTTTTTTCACTATGTAAAAAAAAAAATGCATTTAATTCTCATTTATTAGTTATGCTTCTTTTGTTTCTGGGATATATCTAGAACTAATTTTCAATCACCTGTAAAGCCCAGGTGTTATTTCCTAAGACTACTAGGTTCTATAACAATTTTCTTACCTTTGACCATAGTATTTTACATTTTATAGTTTCTAATTGTACTTTCTTGTATTCTTTGTCTTTCAGATCCAGGTGAACTTGAGGGAACTAGAGGCAGCTTCCTGGTTTACTTATGATGAGGTGACCACAGCACTGGGGAGAAAGGGCCCCTATATTCAGCAACAGAATGAGACTTTCCCATTCTTGATGCCCCCAAAGTTAGCCATTGCCCACCAACTGATTAAGGAGTGGGTGGAAAAACAGACATGTGCTTCCCTGCCTGCTTAGCTCAAGCCATCGAGATCTCTCCTGGATATTGCTGAAGGACATACTGGAGACCTACTGTAAAGGGGAGGTGGGGCTGGGGATGTAGCTCAGTGGCATTGTGCCTGCCTTGCAAGCACAAGGTCCTGAGTTCGATCTCCGACACCAAAAAAACAAAACAAAAAACAAATAAAGGGGAGGTGACAAAAGGACTGGCTCTAAGCCAGACATGATGGCACATGCCTGTGGGAGGCTAAGACAGGAATGATTGTAAGTTTAAACCCAGCCTGGGCAACTTAGGGACTTAGAAAGATGCTGTCTCAAAAAAAAAAACCAAACCAACTCATAGTAAGGCAGAATAGGTGAGCCTAAGGCAAGACCTTTTTTTTTTTGGTACCGGGGATTGAACATGGGTCCCCGTGCTTGTGAGGCAGGTGGCAGAACCGCTGAGCTAAATCCCTGGGTCTTGGCAAGACTTTGTCAGCAGTGTTTCCTACTAATGAGCAATTAAAAATACCAGTGTGAGCAATTAAAAATACCAGTGTAAGCAACATGTGGTGGCACATGCCTATGGTCGCCACCACTTGGGAGGCTGAGGTAGGAGAACTGCTTGAGTCTATGAGTTCAGGGACTATCTAGACAAAGCTGCCAGACCCCATGTTTTAAAAACAAACAATGTGAGAGAAAAAACTGAAACAGTTCTTGAACCTTATGGGATAAACTAAATTTAAGATTCATCATTCATACCTTGTCATAATGGAAGTGTTTATTTGAGGGAAATAAATCTCCATACCTTTGTTCAGATGGGTTTTTTGTTGTTGTTTTGTTTTTTTGCTCTATCAATCAAGGAAATTTTGGAAAGTAAGAATCAGAGGTAGAGCTGAGTGTGGTGGCACATGCCAATAGTCTCAACATTCCGGAGGCTGAGGCAGGAGGAATGCCATGAGTTCAAGACCAGCCTGGGGTACATAGTATGTTCAAGGCCAGCCTGGAATACATAGCAAGACCCTGTCTCAAAACACTGCCCCCCACAAAAAAAATTGGGGGTAGAGCAGGTACAATCTCTTTTGGTGCAATAATAAAATGTTTAAATCTAGATTCCAAGTTTGTGGTACTGAATGTGCAGAAGCAATACTCTTATAGGTCCAGTTGAAAAGAATAGCTGGAGGAGATGGTTCTAGGCACCAATTTGTGATCAAAAGGCACAAGCCCCGGGAATCTTAAGGAATCTTAAGATTATTCACTTATTAGAGTCCTGTAGAACTAAGCAAAAGAAATTCCAGAAATAGAAAAATTAAAGCAGAGAATCTCCTTTTGATCCCAAAAGTTTACTGCTATCTTCATTACCAGAAAGCCATCATTGCTTTGGGGAAATAAAAGTGCCTTCAGCTAGAATCCTTGAGGGATAATATGTGCTAGGACTTGACTGTCTTAGGTTGGCAGCCTGCCTTTACCTGGGGTGAACTCTGCATTTAGAAGGAAAACACATTCATGAAAGAGAGAGCCTGAGATTTCTTCATATCTTGCAGTCAGAAGAAAACAGTTCAGGGTCCATGTGTATTACTGTCTCCCAATCGTTTCTGTCTCTCTGACTGTGTTTGTGAGCACATGTGTACACATCCCTAGTCTGAAAATACTGATAGAAGGGGGAGGGAGTGCAGGGTTTCTGGTTATGAATTTCTCAAACTTACCATGGAGTAACTGTTTGCTTTTTGATTAATGTGTTTTTTGGAAAAGCAAAATGAGAGTGACTAATAGAAGCTGCAACACTGAAGTTTGTTTTCCCAGCACCAGCAGTAAGAGGGCATTGCTATAGAATATGTGAAAGCTGAGGCAGAACAAGGGAGGGTTGTTGTACTGAAAATGGCAGATAAACTCATACAGGGTTACCTCAGTGGAGAGGACATATATATGGCAAAGAATTATGAAGGTGCTACGTATGGACAAATAGAACCCAGCTGAGACTATGATGCAGACTAGCAAAAACAAGCAAAACCTTAAAATAAATATATTTGTCACCAGAGGGAGCCTGCCTCAAGGTCAGTTAACCATCATAATGGAAATAAAAACCCAACTCATTGATTTCTTACTTCTGCCTATTTCCCTTTACCCAACATTTCATTCTCAATGAAGATAAACAATATACCAAAAGTACATTGTGGGAAAGCTATTTTCTTAAAATCAAGCCGGGATAGCATTCTTTTTTTTTGGTACTGGGGATCGAACTCAGGACCTTCCACTTGCGAGGCAGGAGCAGGTACCACTGAGCTACATCCCCTGCCCTGGGATAACATTCTTAACATATGAAATGTACCTTCAAAACAAAGTATAAGAATGTATTTACCCAAAACATTTTAAATTATTAACATTATTTAAAATATTAATTAAAATGTCAAAGTGTTGCCTTTTTTTTTTTCTTTTCTTTTTTTTTTGGTACCGGGGACCGAACTTGGGTCCTTGCGCTTGCGGGGCAGGCAGCAGAACCACTGAGCTAAATCCCCGGCCCCTATCAAAGTGTTGCCTTATGCAGTAAAAAGAAACATTTACATCCAATGCTTTCTTAAATCAATGTCCAATACTCTTCCTGTTTCTCAACTCATTTTAGTCAACATCACTGTGAAAATAAGAAGAGGAAGGACTGGGCGGGGTATGGTATTAGTTTGTGATAGGAGACCCCCAAAGAGGAACTCTACCACACCGTTCTAATTCCTCCCTTGGTTGTGGAACAGGGGCCAGTGTGGCTTTCTGTATCCATGGGCTCTGCATTCGTGGATTCAACTGTGGATTGAAAATATTTGGCAAAATACAGCACATGTATTTTCCTGTAATTATTCTCTAAGTAATACAGTATAACACTTATTTACATAGCACACACATTGCATTAATATAAGTAATCCAGAGATGAATACAGAGGAGGATGTGCATAGATTATATATAAATACTATGCCATTTTATATAAGGGACTTGAGAACCTGTGGGTTTTGATGTAGGCAGGTCCTGGAATGAATCCCGTGGATCCTGAGTGACAACTGTACTTCCATTGTTTTTACTTTCGTAAGCAAAATATTCTAAGGGCATCGTTTTGCTAATAGCAGTAAAGGAAAAATCAGAGACATTACAAAAACATGGTCAGTATATGGAGCTCTTTATAGATAAGATGTGATTCATTTTAGGAGGAAATGAAGATCATATGAAATAATCACTTTTTCCTAGTAACAGATTTATTAGTTATATTAAATATCAAATCTCAATTTAAACTAGTATCAATGTATGAAATAACCAAAATAGGCAAATCCATAGAGACAGAAAATAGGTTAATGGTTTCAAGGGGCTGAAAAGAAGGGAATAGGGAGTAATCATTAAGGAGTACAAGGTTTCTTTGTAGGTGGATGAAAATACTATGGAAGCAGATGGTGGTGATGGCTGCCTAATTTTGTAAATATACTAAAAACTGTGGAATTGTACACTTTAACGAAAAATTTTTGGTATGTGATCATGTTGCAGTAGAGCTACTGTTTTAAAAAGTAAGTTCTTTATCTTAATTTAGGAGTATACAAGCAAAAACTCACTGACTGTACACTTAAGATCTGTACATTTTATGCCTCGTTAAAGTTTAGAAAAAAGAGAATAAGCTAGAATTTTGTCAAATTGGAATTCTGAATTGTAGATAAATATACATAAGAAATTACGTATTACATATTTTCTTACCATAGAATGTATAAATCTCATCTCAGAGGCCATCCTGTGGCTTGATCCTATCCTGCTGATTTTAGAACTATGTATAACTGAGTTAAGATCACAAAGAATTGTAGAGGACAAGATTTGGGACTTGGGAGAAGACACCTTGTGAAATTTGCAATGAAGAAATATTTTTACTGAATGAGTAAACTATAAATGAATATACTCAGACTCACTGTTTATTTAAAGAGAAAAATAAAGCTAGATATGTTGGCTAACCTTTCACTGGCTTACTTGTGGCTCTGTGATCGCTGTTGTCAGGCAGTTGCACACCCATGCTCTGTAAAAGGTTTGAGACAGGCCCTGCCAGCCCAGCTTGGGAGCTGTAGGATTCCAGTATATTTGAAACCAGGTTCAGGTCTACATCCACTGGGGCCATAACAGAATCTCCGGCACCAGAATCTTCCTCATCTGAATTGTTACTAGTGGTCTTGGATGAAGGGTCCTTATTTTGGAAGGAAAAGAAAATCAGAATCATATCCCTTCAGACTGGACAGAAGTTACAATAAAAAGCTATAAGCAGCAATGTACATATGAATTCCAAATTAATAAGTTTCTTATCCTTTGTGATATAAAAATGAAATCCAATAAATTTATGTGATTTAACACATATATTAAACATTACCCCTAAAGTTTACAACACACTTCATTGTAGAAAAAACTACTATAAATTGAATGCTTTTGTCTTTATTTTGAAATAGCCCAAAGGAGATCACTAGAATTAAAGACAGTTTGCTTGACTTTTAATATATGTGCTGCCAAAGCGAGCACAGTTTGCTTGACTTTTAAAAGAAACATAAAAAAAGAACATTAAAAAAACACAAGAATCTAAATTTTCTTCTAAATGAAAGAAGCTAGATTTCTTTTTCTCCCCCAGTGACAAAGTTTAAAGTAAAAACTAAAGCTTTGTGGAGTCCAACCACAAAGACTAAATTATTATGTGGCCTGTGATTTCACAGGTTGGGGAAAGGATCTGAAAGATTTCAGCCTGATCTATAGACTTTTATATGACTGGACTCAAAGTGCAATCCATGGACCAGCAGTATCTGCATCCTTCTAGTCTTGCTAGAAACAGAAAATCTTAGGCTTCTCCTCAGACTTGCTTATATCAAAATCTATATGGTAAAAAGAGCTGTGATTTATAATCACAAAGAATTCTAAGATATATTGTTTTAAATAAATCTTAATACGTGGTTTCTAATAGGGTTTGACAATACTAAAGATGATAATTTTATTTTATTATGTTTTTTGGTACTAGGGATCGAACTTGGGTCCTTGCACTTGCTCAGCAGGCAGTGAAACCACTGAGCTAAATCCCCGGCCCTGAAGATGATAACTTTTAAATGGGGTTTAGATGATGAAAGCAAGGGGAACTAACATTAATTAGGAAGCCTATTATGTTTGGGCTTTACCATTTCCTCCTTTGGGTCTCATTATTAATTCTATGACAGGAGGATTACTGGCTAATGGATACATTCACAGTGGATGGCTGATTCGGATTTCAAACCAATCCTATGAAACTCTGGGGTACATGTTCTTTTCATAATGTCTCTATCTAGAGATAGACAGTGTTGGCATAAAAAATAGGGTAAAAATGTGAATGGGAGAGGAATTCTGAATTTGGTTCTATATTAGGAAAATATACAAAGCAAACTACTGAGATCTGAAATTATTTGAATATTTAAAATCCTCTCTCTTTCAGAATCCATTTATTATGGCCGTAGTAGTAACAGTATGCAGCCACATATTAATTTGAGCCTACTATATGATCTTTTATTTTATATATATCATAGCATAATATAATTTAGATTTAGGAAGTAAAGTTTATTAAGCTTTTTTTTCCCTGGTGCTAAAGATTGAACCACAGGCCTCATTCATGTTAAGCACCTGTTTTACTACGGAGCTACACCCTAGGAGCCCACCTTTTTTTGAGGCAAGGTCTCATCATGTTGCCCAGAATGGCCTCAAACTCTTGGCCTCAAGTGATCTTCCAGGCTTAGCCTCTTGAGTAGTTAGAAATAGAGTATGTGCAACTTTGTGCATATTTATGCATATCATTTATCCTAATGATAAATGATTCCTAAGGAATTATTTTTTCCTAAGGAAAAAATTAGCTTTCTTGGGGCTGGGGACATAGCTCAATGGTAATGTGAGTTTACCATCCACAAGGCTCTGAGTCCCATCCCCAGTCCATATTAAAAAAAGAAATTAGCAATCTTATTTCAAAACTCACAAATTAAAATAAAAGAAAACCTAACATAAAACACCACTTTAGCTATCCTATATGATAGACTGGAACGGGAAAGAGGTTAAAAACACTCACCATTTGCTTCTTAGTGGTAAAACTTTTGCCCATGCTGGTGTGTGCCAGTTCTTGGTCCATTTGGGCCATGTATGATTTGAGGTCATCAAGAGTTCCTTTCAGAGAAGCTTCTTCACCAGGTTCCTGCATCTTGAGGTCCAAGTCATCATCACTGTCTAAATATTCAAAGTCTTCCTCATCCAGATCATCAGAGTCTGACTCCTGAGCCTTTGGCCCTGTACAGACCCCAAAATAAGAAGAGCCACTTGTAAACTTTTTTGAGTGATTACCTCTTTTCTCAAAAAAATTAGAATATTAAAAAAAATTAAATATTGCACACAGAAAATGACAAGAGAGTCAAACTACTTCACAAAAATCCTTTCAAGAAATAGTAATGCTCACAGACATTTACAGAAAACTTCACGTGCTGGGCCAGCTGACTGAACTTTTTTATTTAAAAGTGAATTCAGTTATATAATTATTTTGTGGTGGTACTGGGAATTAAACCCAGGGCCTTTCCACTGACTATATCCCCTGCCCCAACCTTGTTTTTTGTTTTCTGGTTTTTTTGGAAACAGGGTCTCATTAAGTCACTAAATTGCCCAGGCTAGGCCCAAACTTGTGATTCTCCTGCCTCAGCTTCCCAGAGTGGTGAAATAACAGGTGTGTTCCACCATGCCTGGATGAATCCAAAGTTTCTTCTTAAAAACTTAAAAAACTGGGCTGGGGGTGTAGCTCAGTGGCAGAGCACTTGCCCAGCATGCACAAAGACCTGGGTTTGACCCCAGACATGGGCAGGGGAGGAAAATGAATTATATAATATATACTTCTTGGAACAGAGGTTAGGTAGAACCCTTGAAGACATCGGTGTAGGAAAAGATTTTATGAACAAAACCTCAGTTGCCCGTGAACTAGCACAAACAATCAACAAGTGGGATCTCTTCTTATTAAAAGGCTTCTGCACAGCAAGAGAAACCACCAGCAGTGTGAAGAGACAACCCACAATGTGGGAAAAAATCTTCACCTGCTCTTCCTCAGACAAAGGTCTACTATCTCGAATCTATAAAGAACTTAAAAAGATCAGACCTCCCAAATTTAAAGACCCAATCCAAAAATGGGCATCTGAAATGAACAGACATTTCTCAGACAAAGAAGTAGAAATAGCAAATAAATACATGAAAAAATGTTCAACATCACTGGTCATTCGAGAGATGCAAATGAAAACAACGCTGAGATTCCACTTCACTCCAGAAAGAATGGCTGCTATCATGAAATCAACCAATAACAAATGCTGGTGGGGCTGTGGGGAAAGAGGAACCCTGCTCCACTGCTGGTGGGAATGTAGACTGGTGCAAGCACTGTGGAAATCAGTATGGAGATACCTCAAAGAACTAGGACTGGAAGTCCCATTTGACCCTGCTATTCCACTGCTGAGGATCTTCCCCAAAGAGTTAAAAGAATCATACCACAGTGATATATGTGCGCCCATGTTCATTGCAGCACAGTTTGTGATAGCTAAAACTTGGAAACAGCCCAAATGCCCATCAACTGGAGTCTGGATAAAGAAAATGTGGTTTTTTAATAAAATGGAGTACTACTCAGCCATAAAAAATGAGAAATTAGAGAGATTTATAGCTAAGTGGATACACATTGAGGCGATACTCTTAAGTGAAATAAATAGGACACACATGAATAAATATCGAATAGTTTCTCTGGTGTGAGAAACTGAAAGTGTAAATAAGGACTAAATGTATAATAGGTAATGTGAAATAGGAAGAAAAGGGGCAAAGGGGAAGGAAGTGGGAGGGCTAGGGGAAAGGATAGAAGAGAATGGAATTAATATGAGAAAATGGAAAAATAGGAACAAAATCTTTGTAAACAGGGAGGAATGGAGGGGTTGAAGGGAGGGCTGGGCAAGGGTGAAAAATAAGAACCAAGAGAGATTATGTAAAGGTGCAAATTTCCAATGATGAATGTCATTATATTGTATACCTAAAATGTACCGATGATTAGAATCAATAATTGATAATGTAAAATAGGAAGAAAAGGTCCAAAGGGGTAGGGGTAATGGGAGGGGCAGGGGAAAGGAAAGAAGGGAAAGGAAAAATGATGAGAAATGGAAAAAATGGAAATAAAGTCTTTGTAAATAGGGAAGGGTGGAGGGCGTGAAGGGAGGGCTAGGAATGGGGAAAAAATAAGAACCAAGATGCATTATGTAAAGGTACAGTTCCCAATGAGAAATGTAATTGTGTTGTATACCTACAATGTATCAATAAAAGAATTTAATTAAAAAAAAATATATATATACTTCTTTTATTGTTTTTGGTTTTTGTTATTTTTTGAGACAGGGTCTCACTATGTAGCCCAGGCTGGCTTCAAACTCCCAGCAATCCTGCCTCAGCCTCCCAAGTGCTGGAATTATAGGCTACCACACCTGGCTTACACTAATATATCTTGATGTAAACATTCAAGCCACACAGAAGCATTGTGTGAGCTGAGGCTCACTCTAAGAGATGCCTTTTAACAGTGTGGTATCTAGTCATACTCTATACAGTTCTATACATACACACATATGTCCTACTTATTTAAATGTGTTGAGGGCTTTGTCAGAATATGGAGGGACTTCATTCTTTATTATGCTGAGTAAATTTTATAATATGTATATATGATTTATTTAACCATTTCCTTCTTGGGGAACATTTATGATATTCCAATTTTTGCTACTACAATGCTACAGTGACCATCTAACCTTCTTAGCACATTTATCTTTTTCACAGAGTAAATCTCTGGACATGAAATTGCTAAATAAAAAACTATGAGCATTCTAGAGTGCCAAGCTCTCCTGTGAAAGAAAACACTTCTACCCCCAGAGTTTATTTTTTCAACCCTTAAAAAAACCTGATTATTATCAATCTTTAAAATTTTTCCAATAGGATAGGCCAAAAAGTCTGTATTTTTATTATGTATTTACTTTCTGGCTAGAAAGAGTTAACTACTTTCAAACATTTACTGACAGTATTTCTTCTCAGTGCACTGCCTATTCAAATTCTGTGCTGATTTTTTAATTGGGCTTTTATAATTTTTTAATTGATCTGTTTTTTCTATAAAACAAAGTTAAAAAACACTAATTATTTTGGAAAAACTTATACAAGATATTTGAAAGACAAAGGACAGCATTAGTATACATGCATATAGTATGGCTGTGAATCAATAAGGAATTAGACATTTCACAGAAAAAAAATAAAAGTCCATAAATATTTAAAGCCATCACAGGCTCATAAATTAGGAAACAATAAGATGTTTGTATATATATCTATATACCTATACATATATAGAGAGAGATATATATAAAAATGTTGGCTATATAAATGTTGGTTATAATATGGAAAATAGACTTTGAATTTACTGTTTGTGAGAACATAAATGGAGAAAGGTAACTTAATAGTATTTATTAACTTAAAAGTAGAGAGACCTTTTGACTCAGAAGTCATATTTCTTGGAATTTCTTGTATAAAAATGGAATCTCAGGGGTTGATTTGTTTTTTGTTTGGTTTTTGGTACTAGGGATGGAACTCAGAACCTTGCACTTGTCAGGCAGGCAATGCACAGCACCACTGAGCTAAATGCCAGGCCCTCAAAGGGTTGATTTGTAAATATAGTGTGAAAGGAAAAACAAAATACAATAAAGACTCAAGGTAAAACCATGTCCACACACTCATATCATTCATTCTTTCAACTATGTAATGAGCAGCTACTTTCCTCAGCAGTAAGTATCATTTGATAGGGCAGTAAATAATGGTTGAAAGCAACTCAAAACCACAAAGAGAAAGCAGATATTTTGACTTCGGCATGACATAATGATCCAACAACCACGATACTCCTTACAGTTTCAAAATGAGAGTAACCATTACACTATAACTCACCTAAAATTTTATCAAAATAATTTAAAAAGGAATCTGCATCAAAAGTGATTGGAGCCTCAGAGGGTTCTCTGCAAGATTAAAGGGAAAAGAAAATTATTTATACTGAATACAACTCTTTGAAACTTTTTTCTAAAGTGGTGCCATTCTTAGGAAAACTATCAGAAATATCTCAAAAGAGAAACAGCAAGGAAAATTGTAGTTTAAATATTTTTTTTTTTAGTACCGGAGATCGAACTCGGGACCTTGCACTTGCGAGGCAGGTGCCGGAACCACTGAGCTAAATCCCCGGCTGTAGTTTAAATTTTAAAAAAATCTTTGTGCTTGCATTTTTGCCTTGCAGGGCAACAGAAAGAGGAAAGTCTAATGAAAGAAAAATAAAAATTGCACCTTGTTTATGCATATTTAGCTTATGTGTTTAGGGACCCACCCACACTGTATCCCCTACAGAATATATCCAGTATTAATAAGGAAGTTATTTATAAATTTATTTACATAAAGCTTACTCATTTAAGAACTAAAACTTAAAAACTTCCCTTACTCCTTTCTTAAAGAGAAAAAGTAATTTTATATTTAATCTTTTCATGAAGCTCAAGAGCATCAACACGCATAGAAGACAGATTTGCAGTGTAAATAACATTTCTATCTACCTATTTTTCCTCGCTACTTGCCAATGTAATTTCATATTTCTTCTATGTTTATTTCTGCCTCTGAGGAGCCCCTTTATCCTCTTTTGAGTTTGCAGATTCGTCTGCTTGTATAGTAGATTTGAAGTCTGAGTTTGTGGAGAGATGGATGGTAAGAATCCATAGATAAATCAAAGTTGTAAAGTGCACAGTTTCCTGCCATGGTTCTGGGGAGTGGATTTTAAATCTACTGAGGAGTCTTTCTAGCTTACTTAAAGGATTGCAAAGGTTCAGGCTATTAGAGGTCTGACTTCAGATAAGTAAATTATCATCATATCAGGCACCAAAAAAGGGAAATAAAACAGTATTAATCTTTTATTTGGAAAAGATAGTGGAAGTGGTACTTTCTTTTGACTGGAAGACTTCAACATTTAGGATATAACTATTTAGATATTTTTATTTTGACAGAAATTACCGAGGCAGCTCTGCTCCCTTATGGGTTGAAACTTTGGATATGAAAGCTTTCATGCTATCTGTGACTTGAGTTAATTCATAGTTCTGCTCTTCCTCCTTCTTGGAAATGGGTTGTGATTCTTTTGTGCCAGCAGCTTTCTGCAGTAGCTGATCCAGCTGATCTGGTGAAAGCTCTAACCACTGGTCATCTGAAAAAGAAGAAAGCATGATGCTGCCGTCTTACAGTCATGTGAGAGGTACTCCCAGGAAATACACCAAGCAACTTAGTGGGATTTTTTTTTTTTTTTTTGGGTACCAGGGATGGAACTCAGGACATTGTGTTTGTAAGGCAGGCAGCACACCATTGAGCTAAATCGCCAGCCCATGGGATTTAAAAATTCTTCCCAACTTTCCTGCTCTATCTCGATCCATCACTTACCATCCTCTGGGGGAAGGTTAGCGTCTTCTTTTTTAAGCTCTTCTATATCAAATGTCACTGTCTGTAACATGGTCAAGATTTCTTCACCTGGGCTCATAGCAAGTGAACTATCAAAAATAAAAGACGTATTTCTTTATAAGACAGCCCAGAACAGTAATCATCAAGACACAAAATTTTAAAACTAAAAGGGATTAACTAATTTGTTTTCAAACTTTTTCTTTTTAGGTTGCAGACCTCTTTGTCTCAAATCAAATTTTACCAGGAACTTTAAGATAATGAAGCGTTCAAAGTAAAATAGCTTTTATTAAAATTTGTTAAGGATGAAGGCTGAGGTACCATTTTGACTTCCCCTTGGGCTCTGCAGCAGGCTCCATGGAAAGCCACCGTAAAACTGCTGATTTAGTACAATCCTTTCCACTTACATATATTTTATATGTGAAGAAAGAAGATGCAGGCCTGGGGATTTAGCTCAGTGGTTCTGCTGCCTGCCTCATAAGCACAAGGTCCTGAGTTCAATCCCTGGTACCCACCTCCCCCCCGAAAAATACATAAGATGTTTATTTTTATTTTATTTTTTTTTTATTTTTTGGTACTCGGTATCAAACTTAGGACCTTGCACTTGCCAGGCTGGCATGGAGCCACTGAGCTACATCCCGGCCAATGAGGATGTTTACTGCAATATTATTACAACAAATTCAAAGCAAATGTTCATAGTGTAAAGATATAATTAAATTGTGGCACATTTTTTTTTTGGTACCGGGGATAGAACTCCAGTCCTTGCACTTGCACATCAGGCGGCAAAACCACTGAGCTAAATCCCCAGTCCTATAATTACATTTTTGTGGTGAGAACATTAATAATCTGCATTTAAAAAAATATATTGTCAAGTAGCCTAGTAATGTATAATTAGATTTAACCATTCTGCAATGTACATATACTTCAAAACATATATACACAGTAAGTATATATAATTTTATCTATTAACGTAAAACATCTGAAAAATATACTGTATTCATATATCCATCACTGATGGATACTTCAGGTGCTTGCCATTTTTCACTATGACAATTTGTAGTAATTTTTAGGAGAAAAGAGAATAGCATGATTAGAGATATATTTTAAGCAGATTTTCTTGGCTTTAATGGTTGAATCAAAGAGTCAGAAGTTGAAAAACAAGTTTGGGTATTGACATAATTTAAGAACAGCCGGGTGTGGTGTAATCCTAGCACTTGGAAGGCTGAGGCAGGAGGATTGCCATGAGTTCGAGGCCAGCCTGAGCAACACAGTGAGTTCAAGACCAGCCTGAACTAATAGCAAGACCCTGTCTCAAAAAAAAAAAAGAAGTAACTAGAGTGGTAGGACAGTAAAAAAGAATGCAAGATACAGATAAGTAATAGCTCTACAACTGGATCCAAGGGCAGCCAGGTACTGTTAGAAGATACTGGGGAAAAGTCTATGATAAAAAAAAAAGTCTATGATACTAATTTAGAAAAAACAACTCTAAACATTAGAAATTTAACAGGTCTGATGGGAGACATGAGTTTGGTTTAAATTTGTTTAAAAATTATCTTAGAATGGGAATCTCTACTGCAACATTAATTAAAATGTTATATATTTAAGCTACTTGTATTTTGTTTTCTGATAGCAAAACATTTGAATAAGTTATGCTATATCCATTTCCTGAAATATTGTGCACCTACTTAAAATTATGTTTATAGCCAGATATGGGGGTACATGCCTGTAATCCCAGCACTTGGGAGGCTCAGGCAAGAGAGTAACTGCAAGTTCAAGGCCAGCCTGGGCTACATAGGGAGTTCCAGGCCAGCCTGAACTACACAGCAAGACCCCGTCTCAAAAAAGAAAAAACAAATTATGTTCATAGAGATATTGTAACATTCAAGAGAAACATTAGATTACAATGAGTAAAAATTGTATAGAGGAAGACAAAATGTCTACAAGAAGAACAAGTGGTTAAAAAACCCTTGGAGGGCTGGGGATTTAGCTCAGTGGTTCCGCCGCCTGTCTCCCAAGTGCAAAGGGTCCAGAGTTCTATCCCCAGTACCAAAAAAAAAAGAAAAAAAAACCTTGGAAGCCAATAAATCAAAATGATAAAAGTGGTCAACTCTTACATACATTTTCTCATCTCAAATTTTTCTGTATTTACTATAATGAATTATTATCAACAACAACAAACTTATTGAAGAGAACAACCCAATCATCATCCTATCTTATTTTGTAATAGATGTCCTAACCATAACTCACCTTTCTGGCCGGTCTACTGAGAGTTGGAAGTAGTTCTTTGCCATTTCTAGTCTTTCACGGTATTGAGCAGAACCTTCTATTAGTCCCTTTAAAAAATAGCAAGAGACCATAAGAATATTACTTACAGAGTGCCATTAAACTTGTTCACCTGTCAATAACCTGCTTACCAGCAACTTTCATGGAAGCACTGTATGATGTATTGTTCAGGATTCGCAAGGCCTAGTCCTAGGCCCTGTTTTGTCATTAATGTACCTATTTGGGCTCTAGTTTTTTCTTCCAATGAGAGGACTAGGCTATGATGTACCGGTTTTTAATCTTTTTTCAATATTCAAGGCATCTTTTCAATTTGGAAGGTTTTCTACCAATTATATTATTTACTAAGATGTAATTAATGAACTAGTAATTGATTTATAAAACATGGTACAGAAAGTTTGCCAAACAGACCCCAAAGTAACCTAATCCAACTATTAAGTATCATTTTTATTTTCTACATCCACATTTATAGTGCTGTTAATATTTAATATTTTACATTTTTAAAAAATGCACTAAAGGGCCAGGGATTTAGCTTAGTGGTTCTACCGCCTGCCCTGCAGGCACAAGGACCTGAGTTCGATCCCCAGTACCAAAATTTTAAAAATGCACTATAAGTGACAGGGGAGGATAGTATATAGCTCATTGATAGAGTGTCTACCTAGCATGCATGAGGCCCCGGATTCAATTCCCAGAACCAAACAAAATACACACACACACATATACATACATACATATTATTTATGATGGTATAATACTATACAGTTTTATATTGCTACACAATCTTTATAATTATCATATTCTTGTGAATTTTCCCATTTCTCGGATCTTTCCTTACAAAAGTTAGTCAAGGGAAGGTTCTGAGTTTGAACTTTTTATAGCTTTTGGAACATATTACCAAGTTACTTTCAATTAAGGTTCTATCAATTTACAATGCATAGGAGTATTAATTTTACCAATCAGTACTAACATTCATATCTTTTTATATATATGAAAAAGTGTTCAAATGCTTATTTTCACTACTTGTGAGGTTGAATATTTTAAGAGAAATCTTAAATTACCTTTTTGTAATTTTTTTTATGTATAATTTTGCTAATTTTCCTATCTGGTATCTTCATATTTGTTTTACCAATTTTTGCAAGTTATAAATCTGATATAAATAAATGTTATCATTTAATACAAATAGTATTTGATTTCTCAAATACTAGAGAGTTCACAAACCCTTCAAAACTCTTTCAAAGACCCTGAGTACCACTGAAATAAGTGTCTTTTAACTTGAGCTTCTATAATTATGTTACACATTTAAATATGGACCATTGACTTTCCTCAGATTTTACATTTTTAAAAATACAGTGCAAGTCCTACCTTAAAGTAATCATTCTTTTTCAGACTTTCAAGGAAGCTAGCCCAGAGTGGTGAGGTAGTCACAAGGGACTTCTTGGAGTTTGAAAAATGTGGGCTACATTTGGAGCATAAGATCTCAAATCCATGAGCCTAGATGAGATAGGTAGAATTTTTGTTACTTTCTTTTTTCTCCATATCATCTAAGTTACTTTCTTAGCCATGCTCAAGAACTTACGTCCATGTGACTGAACACAAGGACATTTGGACATTTAAAGTCCTTTTTGAATTTTATGAAAAATATGAAATTTCCAAACTTCTCAACCCCTACTAAAAACCACAAAGGGAAAGAAAATAATATTAAAAAGATTCCTGTCTTCTTTAAAGAGATTCTTTTTACATATTTAAATATCACATTGTTTCTCTGATGTAAGAAACCAAAGATGGAAATAAAGACTAAAATATATAATAGATATTGGGAAATGGGAAGAAAGGATTCAAATGAGAAAGGAACAAGGGAGGGGGAAGGGCAAAAGAAAAGAAGGGACAAGAAAAAAAAGAAAACGGAAGGAAAAAATGGAAACAAAACTTTTGCAAATAAGTGGTGGGGGGGGAAGCAGCAGCAAGATATATCATTTAAAGGTACAAATTTCCTATGATGAATGTTATCATTATGTTCATCTAAAATGTCCAATGTTTTGCTTCAAAAAAAAGATTCTTTTTTCCTGCTGACTATAAAACCAGAAATTTAAACATTTATTTATGACATTTCTTCTCTAAAAGAAATTATAAACATATTGAGCATGGTTTCAGACATAGGAAAGCAAGAGAATTATTTCATTTTAAGATTCTTTAATTTAAAAATATTACAGATTTACACAGCAAAATAATTCAAACAGGAAGCTTTCTTGGCCACTCTAAAAACTCACATACCTATGTATGTGTATTTTCCTATCCTATCCCTTTTGTCACTTGACAGCAGCATACACACTATTCAACTTGCTTTTTACTCTTGAAGATCACCGCATATAAACACATATAAATTTATCTACCTCACATGATAGACAGGCCACAATTTAACAAACACTGAAGTAGTTTCTAATCTTTTGCAGTTACAAACAATGCTGTCATGAGTATGCTTGTGTATATATCTTTGTATACCTTGAAAATAACATTTCTAGAAGTAAAATTCTTGTCCAAAAAGGTCTGTGCAATTTAAATGTTGATACATAATGCCAATTTTTCTCCCAAGAGAAGTTGAATCAATTTATATTTCTATCAACAATGTTCAAATTTTTGAAACTTGCCAATGTAACAGTGAAAAACACTATTTTGTAGCTTTAAATTGCATTTGTTTATTGTGAACAAGGGTGAACATTTTCATATTTAAATTAAAAGTCCTATATACTTTCTTTTCTGTGGACTATATGGTTAAATGGATTAACAGTTTTTAATTAACTGGCTAGTATTATCTTTTTCATATTGACTTAAAGGAAAGCTTTATATAGAGAGAAATCAGCCTTTTAAAAAATTTATACTGCAAATATATTATTTTCTCCAGGCTTGCTGTCTTTTGACATTAAAGAGGTATTTTTTGTTTTCTGTTTTTTTCCCAAATCTGAGATGGAGTTTTGCTACACTGTCTAGGCTGGTCTCTTAACTCCTAGGCTCAAGCAGTCCTCCTGCCTCAGCCTCTTGAGTACCTGGGAATATAAGCATGCACCCCAGCTAGAAATTTTTACATAATCAAATTTATCAGTATTTTCTTTTATCACTTCTGGTTTCAAGTCATGCTTTAAAAGGTTTTTCCTATTTGGATTATAAAAGGTTCTCCTGTATTTTCTTTTGAATTTTATGGTTTCAATTTTTACATTTACATATGTGATCCAACTGGAAATTGTGGTATAGGTGTGAGGCAACCAACTTTAATTTTTCAGATGGCTTCCTAGCCCCCTATCACCATTTAATGAATAATCCATTTTTTCCTTCTAATTTGAAATACTACATTTTACTACATTCTCATACAAATAAGGCATATTTCTACACTTTCTACACTGTGTCATTCTGTTAAGAGCACTTTCATATAAAGGAACAAAAATGTCGTTCTGGTTTAACTTTACCAACTTCATGCCCAATTCATGGGCTCGGTACTGGGGATGAGATGGAGGTGGCAGCCTGTATCCACTCCGCCGGTCTGGCACAAACCTCTGTTGTATCAATTGTGCGTAGAGACATTTAGTGAAAGTAACCTGGACATTGGGACACAAAATACTTGAGTCTTTCCTTGAAGTTGAAAATCTGAATATTATTTCATAGTTAAAACTAACAATAAGTCCACTAATGAACTTCATATTCACATATTCGTAGATGAAATGCAAAAGAAGATCCAACCTATTCACTACCTATTTACTTATAGGAATAGCTTCATTGAGTTAAAACTCACATATTATAAAATTTATGCTACTGCCTACCTTTCAGTTATCACTAGTGGAATTCTTATCACTAATTATAGTATATTGCAGTTTGGGGGTTGGGAAATAAAGAATAATTCTTTTTTATTTTTTTCCTGGTACCAGGGATCAAACTCAGGACCCTGCACTTGTCAGGCAGGCGTAGCGCCACTAAGCTAAATCCCCGGCCCCAAGGATAATTCTTAATTCTCTGGAAGAGATGAAACGTTTTAGTGTTAAGGAAATAGTTACAGAAATAAGGAAAATATGGTCAAACATAGTTTGGAAGCACTGAGATATAAACTGGGGGGTCAGGTCTCTTGCAAACTCCCTCCAATGGGTAGGAGAAAAGAAAGGATAAAAATGTGCATTAACTAGCATGAGGAAACAAAATATTTTCAATTTTTTCTAGAGAAAAATAATATTTTAACCCTCTTTCCAGTGAGACAAATGATCAAGAGTGGTATCTTACTGATGTCATTATTTGTGTTTCCGGCAAGAATGTCTTGAAGACACGACAGGCTCGCAGGTCAATGGGGTCCCGCAGGTAAAAAGCCTGGACAGCAGCAGCCACCAATCTGGGCCTCTGCTTTAGTACCACTGCAATGCCAGCTGGGAGGAAGCAGTGTGCTCGGTGCAAGGAGGCCTGAATTTTTTCTGGGTACCTATGACAGGAAACATAACTGCTTTTATTATATATGGAAATATTTACAATTCCTGTACCACTCACTTCCCCTTTATCATCTTATTTTGTCTTGGTTTATCAAGAGTGAGTAGAAAGTGACATGAGAGGGCCGGGGATTTAGCTCAGTGGTTCTGCCGCCTGCCTCATAAGCCCAAGGTCCTAAGTTCAATCTCTGTAACCAAAAAAAAAAGAAAGTGACGAGAGGTGAGAAAAAGATACTATACATACTTTAAGACTATAGTATCATAGAGAGGGGGGGAAAAAGTGGGAAGAAATGGAAAACAAATAAAAGGGATTATGGTAGTTCAATAAAAACAAAACCTACTATATTCTGGAATAAGATAAAATTAGAATTTATTTTTCCAAAAAATGGTATTAAGCATTCTGAAACAGAGCTAAGAGTTTGAATACTGTTAAGACCTGAATGTTAAACATTTAATAGATACTCAAATTTAAATGGGTTGAACTCAGATGTCATTAAGCCTTAACCTTTTCTTCTGAATAAAGCCTAAAGTATTTCACATAGGTCAAAGAATCCAACATGTTGCCCCAGAACCAAAGAAAAAAATGACATTTCCTTACGTTTCCATTTTTAAAGGCCTCAAATTTTTATCAATGGATGTTATTAACAGCTACAATCCCTATGATAAATAAATGCAAAATGCTAGGACTAGATCCTAACACTTTGGAATGGGAAGTAAAAGATACACCTTAGCTGGTTACAATGGTGCCTGTAATCCCAGCTACATGGCAGGCTGAGGCAAGAAGGTTGCTTGAGCACAGTTAAATGTCGGCCTGGGCAACATAGCAAGATCCTATTTGAAAACAAAATAAAACAAAGCCTCTGCTTCTTCACTTTAAAATCCACAAATTTAACTTGTTAGTCAACTTCATGAAGAGGGATACATATAAAATAAAAATGAGCATTCATGTAGTTAAAAGGCACTCCACATTTAATGAGATCTGCACTGCACTAACTCAAAAGGCTTCACAATTATCAATATCAGTGTTATTTTTCTTACCCCCTGATGCGCCTATTAACAGCAGCTCGTATGGATTCTGAAGCCAAAACTTTTTCTGGGTGTGTTGAAATTATATTCAATGCTTGTGGGATTGTTGGGGGGGTGGTGGGTAACCAGGATACTGTCTCAGATTTCCTTGGTACAGGAATAATGCACAACTCCCCATGGTGGAAAAACACCTGCAAAATGGCACGTTTTAATTTTCATAACAGGCACTGGCAAACTCTAGGTACATATGAAAATAATGCAGCATGATTTCATCTCTGTCAAATTTCTACTTTTGGGTATACTTACCCTATTGGCACTATTATCAGGATCTAACCATTTAGGAAGAAAGTCGGCAGCTTCTATTAACAAGAATTCACCATCATTGTCTTCAATCCTAACGAAAGAAAAGATTCAATTTTGCATTCAAAAATCACATTTTTGCTAATTATTAAGACAGCTTTATGTCTTAGCTATATTAGCAGCTTAGTAGCTTAGATGTATTAGCATCTTAGTAGATATCTGAATATGTACTATTTGCAGATTTATACAAGAAAGCAAAATAAGATAACACTAAGCTCTAAAGGATAATATAGATTGTAAGGTGTAGCTCAAGATAAGGAGAGGAAATAAGCATATAAATATTAGACAAAAATATGAAAAGATGCAAGGTCCTACAGGCTTTCAGAAGAAAAAAAAATCACATACAGCTGAGATTAGTAGAGTCAAGTAGGAAGTCTTATTTGGGCCTTGAAAAATTTTTTTGGAGGGGAACCTCACTTGCATCACTCAATTTTTATTTAAATTTTTGAATAGGTAACACATAATTTATTTTGGATTTTGGGCTTTTTTGTGTGTGTGAGAGACAGTCTTGAACTATGTAGTTGAGGCTGGTCTCAAACTTGCAGTGACCCTCCTGCCTCGGCCTCTCAACTGCTGGGACTACAGGCATGTACCACCATGCCCAGCACACATAGTTAATTTTTTAAAATATATAAAAAATTACAGAATGAAAAAGTCTTCCTCCTATTTTTGCCTCTGTCTGCACAATTCCTACCCTCCTCATTGTTTCCTGTATATCCTTCTAGAGTTTGCTTATGTATGGCCTAGTGAGCAGGAGTATATATTATTTTCTCTTTTTACACAAAAGACGCACATTTTATATGCTGCTGTAATTTTTTTTTTTTTTTTTTGGTACCGGGGATCGAACTCCGGTCCTTGCGCTTGCATAGCAGGCGTTGAAACCACTGAGCTAAATCCCCGGCCCAGCCCTTTAGTTTTTTGTTTGTGTTTTTTTTTAATGGATAGAGATATAGGGAGAAAGGAAAGTGTTCTTGGGAGGGAACAGCACAAGCCAAATCACATAGGTGGCACAACTTAATGTGGCTATTTGGAGAATGACAAATAGTAAAAAACAACTAGAGGGCCGGGGATTTAGCTCAGTGGTTTCGTTGCCTGCTGCACAAGCACAAGGACCCGAGTTCAATCCCTGGTACAAAAAAAAAAAAAAAAGACTAGAAAAGCAGAGTTCTGTAATTTTTTTTTGAAGAGCTTTGAGAATCAATGAGAATGAACTTAATTTCCTAGGCATAAAAGAAAAAAAGGTTTTCAAGCAATGTATTAAAATGGTTAGAACTTTACTTTAGGAAGATTAATGTGGCAAGAATACAGAGGAACTATTTGTTTTGTTTGAATGGTTTTAAAAAGTGACAAGCCATTAGATGCCTAGGACTTAGCATGCAATTTCCGTTTGTTTTGCAGTGCTAGGCATGGACCCCAGGGCCTCATGAATACCAGGCAAGTGCTCTAGCACTGAGCTACATGCCCCGCCATGATGCCTAGGATTTAAAAAGCTTTATTGACCTAGTGTATAAGTATAAGCCACTGTTTTATGAATATCCAGGATCTGCACACAAAAGGTTCTGCCCCTCCTTATTATCTCTGTAAAGACATAAACCAGTATTTTAATTTTTATGCATTGAAAAATCTATCATTTAAAATATCATTGCTGGGCTGGGGATTTAGCTCAGTTGTTCCACCACTTGCCTCGCAAGTGCAAGGACCAGAGTTCGATCCCCAGTACCAAAAAAATAAAATATTGCAGGGGCCAGGTATTTAGCTTAGTGGTTCCAGTGCCTGGCTCACAAGTGCAAGGTCCCAAGTTCAATCCCCCGTACCAAAAAAATTTATATATAT